GTTACATTGAATTCTTCTTTGACATCTTGTATAGTATAATAAGGACTACATGAATGGTCATTTTATAACAACTAAGCTCAACACCCCTGGCCTTCATGGCAAATACATCTCCAAAACTAAGCTGTATAAATTACAAGGGATGAAACTTCCACCAAAGTAAAGCAATGATAGCAAAAACACTTAGTTAATTTTTATTTTTTTTGTGAGGGCTACTCTTTTTCTTTGAATAAATAGTAAAATTTTATAGCAGATAACTGTAGATTCATTCATAGAATGGTCATGTGGGTCCATAGGTTATAAAAGGTTCAGTGGCCACTAGTTTGGACATTTTAACCAATTCTCTACGCAGAACTTTATCTTGTTTAAAAGATGAACCTTTAAATAGTGTATGGGTGTAATATTCAATCTATTTACTCCATCATACAAAAATGACCTTTAATTCTTGCATAGCAAGGCAGGGGGAATTCTAAGATGAGGTAATTTCACCAGATTTATTAGCATATACAAGACTGCAAAAGCTTGAGAGAACAAGTGTACTTTGAGAATTACAAGTTGTTCATTTATCCTTGATTTCCAGTGTCTAATGTGGTTTGCAAGAGACTGGGTGGGTTGATCCAGATAAGAACCCTGTTTACTATAAAAGAGAGATTGGAATTCAACAAGGAATTTTTGCAATTAATTTATGCATGAAAGAGACTTTCATATTTGCATTTTTGAATGTAGACCCAGAAATCATCAGAGAAACGTATAGAAAGGAATTGGTTCTGGAAGGATGCCTCTGGAATATATAATCCCAGGGAGAAAATTGTCAAAGATATATGGGATATAAAGTGTTTAACTTGAAATTTATCTTGAGGAATACAAGATAAGACTTGGATTTGGGACTTGCAAATATTGTCCAATGAAGGGTTCAATTGGTGAGATAAGACAAATAGGAGGCATGGGCTGAGATCTGGAGGAAAGTAGAGAAATTGATTCCATGTTTGGTTTTTTTTTTTTATTTTGCTCCTACATTATCCTTTAATCTTCTTAAATTTCTCTATTTATTTGTGTATAAATTTAGAACAATTACTATCTACTTATGGGCTCACTGTGAGTTTCAAATTAGTTTGTATTTCTCATGACCAATACCTCTAGTCTTTTATAATCTGTATTTTTCTCTCCTTTATTATTGTTACCTAATGACATCAACCCTAACTCCAAGACTTACCTAGCATATAATAGCTATCAGTGTACCATTCTCTCATTGAAATGTTTAACCAAGGTTACTGTTTTTATATAATTGTTGTTGTGCAGAGCTTTTCTGATCTCTGTTCACCCCATATGGAATACAGTAGCAGTATGATTTATGCTGGACAATAACTGTTCTGCTCTTGGAATTGAACGTACCTAGAGAAAACATGATGGAAGTTTTGACCAGAGAATCACATTTACTTGAGCTTTCTAATCATGTTCTACATGCAGGATGCTACCTAGAGATGGTTTCCTCTCATTTCTTGGTAGTTAAACTGTGCTGTTTGATCCCTTTAATCTTCATCTTACTGGCTGACTTCAGAATTAACCTCTAGCCAGTTTTCAAACTTCTTACAGGTCTTACACTATCCCCATTTACAAGCAAGGATTCTGCTCCCTCTTTCTGTATATGCAAATTCTGTATATTTTTTTCCATCAGAGCAGACAAAACTTTTTTTTATTTCAAATTATAAAGTAGATCACTCCGTATCTAGGGAAATCATCTGACAAATTCTCCTGTGATTGAGAATAAAATGTAACTAACTTATAATAGTCTGACTACCATACACAGTATAAAATGTCCTTCATCTGTAAAATTCTTCCTACACATACTCTGGTCAAGCTATTAATATTATTCATTGTCCTTCCAATATTTCCAGTATCTCTTGCCTCAGAGATTATTCCCTTGCTAGACTTTTATTAAGCTTGATCCTCAGAAAGCCACATGGTGTCTCCTTCAAATCTCTTTCTTCAATGAACTTCTTGTATATAGATTCAGAATTTCTTCAATGTGATTTTATTATGTTCTGTACACTAAAAATATCATATGCTTTTTGATTGGGTATGAATAAAATATTCAAAATAATATTTTGGTATTATTCAATAAAAATATAGAGAATATCATGATGTTTTGAAGTCTTGCATTAATTCCAAAAGTCCAAATCAAATACAAAAAAATGGAGTTACTCAAAGTGAATTCCTATAAGCAAACCAAGAACTTATGGAAGTAAATAGTTTCCAAAACAGACTCCTTTCTCGAAAAGAAAAAATAAAAATAGAAAAAGAGAGAATAAAAGAAAAAGAAATAAAAAAAGATAAAAGAAGTTTTGCCTCAGTAAATATAATGAGAAAGGTCCTTCTATCTTAATTTTTAAATATTATGGTAACTAATATTTTATTTCTCTATCATTATATTACTTGACTTTACAAAAATATCATTATGTATTTCAGTTGGGACCTTTATTCCATGATTTGTGAATCACAAATAAAGGCAAATACTGAATTTGCTGTGATTTTATTCTTGTATTATATCAACACTAGAGACAATCAAATAATTTATTCTTCTGTCCATTTTTTTTTTACGGTAAAAGTACCTGAAGTCTAGTCTGTTTACAATTTATCAGTGTCCTGTATAACTATAATCTATAGCCATCAAACTTCAAATTACACTTCTAAACTGACAGTTCCTATATAATATGGATTTTTCCGCCTTTTGGACAACAGCCCTTTATCCTAGTTAGGGTAACTATTGCTATGATGAAACCATGGCAGGAAGGAATGACTTTATTAGATTGTACTCATATATCATAATGTGTCATTAAAAGAAGTCAGAGCAGGAACTCAAACAGGGCCAAAACTTGGAGGCAGGATTGACAGAGAGGCTGTGCATGGGTACCACTTACTGGCTTGTTCCACATAGCTTGTCCAGACTGCTTTCTTACAAAACCAAGGACCACCAGCAAAGAGGTGGCACCACTTACAATGGCCTGGCCCATCCAGCATCAATCACTAATTAAGAAAATGTCCTATAGGCCTGCCCACAGCTTGATCTTATAGAGAAATATTTTCAATTGAAACTCCTTCCTCTCCAATGACTCTAGCTTGTGTTGACTTGACATATAACTATCCAGCACAAGCCTCTTCTCCTTTCTCCACCTCCTGGCAACCATCATGTGTTTCCATATGTTTTAGTACAGTCAAGGTCCACATAGTTTACTTATTTGTATTACTCTTTATGATTATTTCACCCAACTGGAATGTAAGATCTATGAAGGCAATGGTGTGGTGTTCCTTTTCACTCTTTAATTCTATGTTAAAATATTCTTAATAACTCAATAGATTCCTGCTGAAAGAATTAATACTTTTAATACAGCATCTGCTATATAATATATGAACTCAACATAAGCATAAATGCTAATACAGTAATACATAATAATTTACTGGATGTGTTGAAGTGAATGTAAGAGAGATCGCCTAGGTTATAGATCTGCATGTCTGTGATTAGCACAGAAATAAAATTACCCAGAGATAAAAGATCTCTTTAGGAAGAGAAGTAAATGTGTAATAACATCCCCCCGACACACACAAAACAAAACTAGACTCAAGTGATGTACTAATATCAGGCAAGTGGCATAATAATACCTCAAAGATGATGAGTTAAAAGTCCTTAGAAAAGGAAAGGATGGTGAGGCATATTGAAAGTCATTAAAGGTAGATAAGGATTTGCCTCAGAAAGGAACATATTTCAGAATAGCCTGTAGTCTAATGAATCAATGATAAATGTTGAGATAAAAATTATGATAAACACCATATAAATATTTGATGATATACAATAACTTTTCAGAATAAAAAATATCCAAATGTAGCAATGAAATTTTTTTTCTAGATTATTGGAAGGCAGGGACATCCACGGAACACATGTTACTAAGCCTTTCAATTTCCCAAAGAAACTAGTAAAAGAAAAAATAAAATGAGCTTAATGACTAACATTCTGTGACACATCATGATCAACATGACCCTCACTCAGCAGGGTATCCCACCTGAATCTTGATAGTACAAAAACAAATTATATTTTTTGTGGGAGTTAAAACCTTATGTCAATGATATATCTAAGTCAGAAACATTATATTTTTAAAGAAAAGAAAAAGTACTGTAAGATATTTAAAATGCCATCAGCATTTTACAGATAATCAAAAAATTAATCATAAGTATGTGAAAATTGACTAATTTGATTAATTTCTCAGTTGACCTTTACAAAACTATTTGTCTAATATTTCGTAGTTGTTGTACTTTTGTTATATAAAACCAAAATTCCGCCCCTTAATTCCCATGTATGTATGAAATTGAGATGTATGTTATATAAAAGAATTTGTTTTGTGAAATAGATTTCCATTTAAAAACAATTTTGGATTCAGAAAATGAATATTGTCTTTGAACTCCTGTTTCTCTCCTTATTAAAAATCCTCTCAGAACTAACCCCCCTTCATTTTTCATTCCTATATTTATTTAATTAGGTAAATAATCTTTAGGTAGTAAAATGTATTGTTTAATATTTTTTAAAAAGCAGCTCATGAGAGTTCATAACATATTTCAAGATCTGTGTCACCATTTCAGTTAGCCTCTTACCTAAAGGAGAAACTTTAAAAGTGAATACATACAATATGCATTTCTAGCAAAAACACCCACAAGAGTAACTTCATTATTCTGAGAAGCTAGGTCTATAAAATATGTAAAATGTAGGAGCATTCTGCCCATATAATTTCTGGTAAGTTCAGCATGACTAAGAGACAACACTAGCATCAGCTTCAATTTGAGCATACTTTATCCTACTGTGTTTGTACACAAGGACAAAGAGAATGAGTAGAGTGATGATGTGGGTTAGGCTGGCAGTTTTGCCTTGACTAATGAAAAATTATTTCCAGAAATACTTGTTGGTACAATGTTCCACTTATTCACAAGTGACATCCAAATGGTAAGGACAAACTCACCAATACCACTGGACAGATTGTGGTGGGTGGCAAAATATGATCCTTCAGAGGTCCACAGTCACATTCAGGCTTCAGATGAGAAGCACACTTATTGTGCAGCTAGGAAAAAAGAAAGGAATAATATCAAATCTACATGACAATACATCCAGAGAAGAGTGACTTGAACCTTAGATAGAATAATACAATATAAGTGCATTAGATTTTTAAGAACAAAAAGGCTTGAAATTGACTGCAAATTTTACACCTAACAATCCTGCTTTCTTTGACAAACACAAATTATTGCCCATTACAGTGTTTCACTGCTTATCTTTCAGCATAATCTTGAAACCACTGTGCACTGTAAATGTTTTTTTTTTCTTTTTGACCCTCCTGTTTTCTCAAAGTCATTCCAAAGTGCACAGCTCAGTATGGGGCATAATTGATCCCATCATTAGTTTTAACTTTGTAATTCAATATGTAAATGTAACCTGAGATTCAGCTCAGTAGGAGCAGGATATAAATAAAAGAAGATGATTATGATTATAAAAATGTATCTTTATATTGTATTTACCAGCCATTCAGTTAGCATGTAATCATATAATATGGTATTTATTTTACAGTATATATGAACCTTAGCTGATATTTTTAATCAACCCTGATGACAACTTTAATTTCAAGTGTATAAGAAAATATATTAATTAGTTACATTTTTAAAGCAGTGCGATGGTCTTGAACAGTCAATTATTTGATAAAAAGATAATTATCAAAAATATTTAGAAATTTCTCCCTTCACCACTTATATCAATTTAGTATAAAATATTCATACTTTGGGAAAAGTAACAGTAAAATGTGCCTTGTTAAAAAAATATAATACCTTAGTAATTTCCAAAGTCCACTCCATTTATCCTTAGTTGTATTAATTCCCCTCTATAAGCAATTAGTTAGCCAGCTAGTGTAGAATCATTGTTGATTTACTGTTGGTGGTAGGATTGCACTGAAGGCAGAATTTCTACTGTCTTGTATTCTAAAACATTTGTCACTAGGGCCCTGCCTTGGATTTCAAGTGTTTGTTCTACAGTTGGTGCCTATTTGGCTGCATTATAGGAAATAAAAGTATCTTTATGCATCCACCCACAGTAGCATACAGAAACTTCTGTAGAAAGGTGGGGTGAACATCTTCTTAGACACTGCTGACTTTTGCGAGATAAGAGGCATTAAAGACAGAAACAGCTTAATCCTTGTGTACAATAGAATAAGTAAACCTACACTGTGTTTGGGCAAGGAAAACACAGCTTCCTTAAACTAGTTCTAAAATATATTATTTTACTAAAGCTATTCTCCTAACATAAATAATAGTCCTGGATATTTGCATGCATTGGTAACAGGCTGTCAAGTGTGAGGTGGATGGGTTCTGCTCTGAATAATACGTAAAAGTAAAAACCTTAACTTGTGAAGTTTTTATTTTAACAAATAGAGTCCATGCTAATATATACTAGCTAAGATACATACATGATAGATTTGACTAGGCCAGATCTACCAACTGGAAGCCTTGTGGAGGAAAGGAAATCTGGACCCAGAGATACCAACACAATAGGAAAGCTGCATGTGACAAGGTGTTGATATGTGAATGCTGTCTTTACAAAGCATGCAACACCAAATGCTTCCAGAAGTAAGCAACTCCAAGGACTACCAGAAAGTGTCAGGATCTAGGAAAGGTAAAGGACACTTCCCCAAATCTATCACAGGAATACAGCCTTGCTGATATTGTTATGTTAGGCTTCTTGACTCCCAGGTGATAAGTCAAAAAATTAATGTTGTCATGAACCACCTATCTTATGGCATTTTGTTATATGAGCTCTAGAAATTGAACACACTGAGACTATGAAAATCCCATACAGACCCTGTGTCCTAGGGCTCCTCTTGATCGTGACTTGTCACAGAGACAAAACTTTGGCTCTTTGATACTGTGTAAACATCTTAAAATTAAGGGCAAGAGGATCAGAACTTTCCGATAAGGAAAACCTCTTGTGTGCATGGTGAAACTGCATTGGATTCTTCCTCTTTGGGAAATTCTAAAATGACTCATACAGGTAAAGAAGGAACACTGCTCACAGATATCATTTGAGTCACAACTCCCTTAGCCCCTGCATCTCATGTATTTCCAATATAAACAATAAACAAAATCAATGCCAAAAATTTATGTTAAGGCCTAAATGGAAGGAACTAAGGAATTAGAAATATTAAATGGGTCAGGAGACTAGAATATAGGTTCAACTCCCAAGATCTCATGGAATACTGCCTTTATTATCCTAACTAAACCTGTATGGTATTTTCAAGTGTAACTGCCACAATGTCCTACAGCTATGAATTTTAATGGGCAACGTTGGGCAATCTTAAAGCATTAGCATGCATCAGGATCCATAATGTCAGTAAGTATCTTGTCTGTCATTAAAACAGGAACACATACTAAAGAAACTTCTCTTAAGAAAGAGCTTTGTGGGGGGAGGGCGGGGGGTTGAGCTCATGGACTCCAGTCTGATAGTGGGAAAGCAGCATAGGACTGACTCAGATTCCCTGAATGTGAGTGTTAGTTAGGAGGACTGGGCAGTCTAAGGGGCCTCTGGTAGTGGATCAGTGTTTATCCCTAGTATATGAATGCCCATTGGGAGTCCATTCCTCAGCCTAGACACGTGGTAGAGGGCTGGGGCCCTGCTCCAAATGATATGACAGACTTTGAAGACTCACCATGGAATTCCTCACCGTCCCTGGGGAGCAGGAAGGGCATGGTATGGGGGTTGGTTGGAGAAACAGGGGAGAATGAGTGGGTACAGGAACTTTGATTGAGATATAAAACAAGCTTGTTTCAAATTTAAATTAAAAATTATTAAAAAAAAAGAAATATCTAAAATTTAAAGAAAAGAGCTTTGTGTTAACCAACATTGTACTGGAATATCCTATTTTTAAAGGAAAATCATAATCAGACATCTGGAAAATATATTATAATGGTTGTCTATTGCATGATATTCTTTATAGTGGGGAAGGGCAAAGCTGTGAGCAACATGGTAAAAGCACTGACCATTTTTACAAGCTGTGAGTTAAATTGTGTAGCAGATGTCATTGATGAATCCCATTGCCCAGAAATGTATCTGGTAACAAATCAGAAACTAGGAAAACAAATGAAGACAAAGCTGGAAACCAAGACTATCAAACATAAATTTCTGTTACGCTTTTTGTAAAGTTAAAATGCTCTAAACAAACGTGTCTACTAAAAATACAAGTATTAACAAAACAAAAAATATAATAGAATTCAAATAAAATTGGCTTTCTTAAGGTTACTTACTGGTAACAGTATGTTTTCTGAGAAGGTGTGTGTCATCTTTTCAGAAGAAGGGACAACAGAAAAGCTGTCAATATATAACACGAGCAATAACAATTTTCTGACATTGGTGCTCTATCTTTTCTTTTCTTATTTTGTTTTGTCTGTTTTTCAAGACAGGTTTTCTCTGTATTGCTTTGGAGCGTATCCTGGAACTAGCTTTATAGACCAGGCTGGACTTGAACTCATAGAGAACTGCCTGCCTCTACCTCCCAAGTGCTGGGATTAAAGGAGTGCACCACCAACACCCAGCTTGGTGCTGTACCTTAAATACATTTTTACATTCCATATACTGCGAGCAATTCCTAAATTCTTATGATGGGAATATTTGGAAACAGAGCCTTAGGGGCTAACTAGAACTAGGTGAAGGTATGGGAAGAATACCAACCTTAAAATAAAACAGAAGAGAGTAAAATAGCAAATATTTGTTTTATTTTGATAATATAATGTCATCTATCAAGTAATGAGTCAAAAAGATGCTTAAATATGACATATACCCTCGGCCTTAATCGCCTGAATATAAGAAACGAATCAGTTTATATTGGAAACACTACTCTGTAGTATTGTGTGATAACAATACAATTAGTTTAGTATAATTTGCTGCCATGTTATTACATGGGTCAGAATGGATAAAAAAAAAAGATGGTGTTCAAAAGGTATCAAGGACTGTTGACTGTCTTTAAGGATACAGGTACAAAGTAAGGAAAAAGAGACACTAAGCTCTTCCTGGGGTTATAAAGGAAATAGAGCAGAGATGCATCCTTCCTCCTTAGCAAAATTTCTAATGGGAATACTTCCAACCTTTCCAAAGTTCTTTGGAAAACGTTGTCCACAGTTATTTTTATATATTTTAAATAAGACCAAAAAATAAAGTTTTTCTTTAATATGCCCAGAAACTCTCTTTCAAGATAACACATACAGGTTTATATCTAGGAAAGTCATATAATATGAACTAGCTTTTCTTGGAATTGAGTTAAACACTTGGAAATAATTTCAGAATTTGACAGCTCACAGTAGCACCTAATTTAGAGCCAGCTCTATGTTTATTAGAAAAATCTGTTTCAAGTTTGGAAGAAAAGTGTGTGTGTGTGTGTGTGTGGTATGTGTGTGTGTGATGGAGTGATGTTGAGCTAATGAGAGAAGTGGATAGTAGAAATAGGGAAGAAAAGCAGGAAAATATTTATTAAAATCTAGAGATTCATAAAAGAAGGAAGTTAGTCGTTATGAACCAAGGTTCACTGGCCTGACTTAAAGAACTATGTTTGTTCATTGACACTTTCCTGTGCATCAATATTTTACAAATTCAGGGTACTTCCTTAATGATGATATTTGCTAAGGAAAAAACTTCCTATAGCTTGGAACACTTAAAAAATCACTGGAGCTTAATGTTTTCATTGAAAGTAATTCCTTATATGATATAAAGTTAGTCATTCGAATGTATGAGATACACTTTCCCTTATGAATCACAAGTAACTGTATTAACCTCACATCCTAGTGATTCTTGCTTGACAAGGGCTGGACCAGAAGCAATCCAGCACACAGAGTTAAAAGCATCTCAAGCTTGTACTCAATAGTGTCAGGACATAAAGGACATAAGCAAGAAGGAGAAACAAAAAACAACAAAAGTGAGTATTTTGCTGGTTCAAAGGACTGAATCTGAAAGCACAGAAAATTGGTGCTTATATGGGAGACATAGATTTTCCCTGTTCTCTTTAGTCAGGATTTTACTGATTTTCCTTGTGAAGTAGGAAGCTTTAGAAGACATAAAACCATTCTTATGATAATATTTTGTATTTAAATTTGAAACAACCTTGTTTTTCATGTCAATGCCAGTTCCCTCCCCTCCCCTCCTCTCCTGTCCCCTCCCAATCCCAAACCCATGGCCTTTCTGCTCTTTAGGGAGGGTGAGACCTTCCATGGGGGAATCTTCAAAGTCTGTCAGTTTGGAGCAGGACCATTCTTAGAATTTAGAGGTACATCTACAACATGGTAGGCTACAGTAAAGAATCAAATACAATGAGGTTTCACTGACTTAGAAGTGCTGAAGAATACTATTGTCATTGATCCTTTTCAAATTTACTGAACTCTCTGAGACAGTTTGGAGTATTACAAGGTATCTTGAAACACAATTTCAAAAGGAAGCACGTTTGAAATTCAGTAGTTAACACTAAGATTAGCACATTAGTCCTTTCAGTGAACCCGAAGACTTTCTCAAAAACCTGTCCCTACACCCAGAGCTTCAGGTGATTAGAAAACAACATGTGTCATCCACCTGTGGCACTGGAGGACAAAGAGAAGCAGTGGTAACATACAGAAGTCAGGCCACTAGAGAATTATACAGGGTTCCCCTATAGATAACATTTTAAAAAAAAGTCTGAAGAAGAAAATATTAGCATCAAAGAAAATACCAAGAGAAATCCAGAACTGAAGTTGGTTACTATAAGTACTTATGACCAGTGCAGTTCAAGGAATGGGAAGCGTTCAATGAGAGGTGGGAATTACTCATGGCCTTCCCAGGGTTTCTCGGCAGAAACCCACAGCTAAGAGGGGAGACAGTGAGGAAGGAGGATGCAAGAACTTGTGTTTCATGCTCATGCCCGAGCTTCGTGGGACTCAAAATCAAAATGAGTTAAGCAATGGGGAGGCTGCACTTATTATCGTGGAATTATTATAGATTGCTGAAGGGACATATTATAAGAAATAAGTATTTTCAAAGACTTTTCTGGTGGTGATATAGAAGCCTACATTAGAGAAGTACCTTCTGTTAGGGAAAAGAGCCAAGAAATTCTTACTCTGATCCAGTCAGGATGTGCTGAGAGCTTGCACTAAGGTTGGGAATATGAAGTCAAAAATCTCAGATCTGGGAGAGATATTTTAAGGAAGAAATGTGAGGGCTTAGCACTCAGCTCTGTGAAGGAGATAATGTGAAAGACAGGGAAAAACTGACTTCTAACTCCCACAGTGACTAGAACCCCATGCTGTGATCAGTGGGGTAAGGGACAGTACAGGATAAGGTTTGAGTAGTTGCTCTTGAGAACACAGATCTATGACCTTGATATGAAAGTTATTGATGCTTTGAGCCACACAGTTCCCTATGCTCTTTAAAGATGCATTCTATTCTATTCTGACTAATTTCCAGTTATAAATCATGCCAAAATGAGATATAAATATCATGATTAACACTCAGGGTTGGTATTAGACACCCATGCCAAATTTTACCTATTTCCCACTAAGTTGAAACTTAATCACTAAGGATTGACTAAATTTATGCTCCATTTCTAAACACATCTACACTGCCATTTTACCCACTTAATCCTTAGACAATCTTATGGGATAGATATTGAAAATCCTTGCTACCATGGAGAATATGGTCACAAAGTGACTCAATATGTAGATACAATGACACAGCTTATAAGTGCCATAGATCATTTTAATAATGATCTGTTTTCCTCAAGTTATGATTTCAAGTAACATGAAGTATGTAATGACTTTTTGGAGAAATCTTGAAGCTGCCATGCTTCATCCTCCAGTCTTCTGTATATGCAGCTCCTGTGGAATCCACTCAGGTGGCCACTTAGACAGCTTATTAGGGACAGTGCCAGATCTCTCTGCACCATCCTGATTCCCAGAGACTGAAGATGGCATTTAGTTCTTTAGAGATCTCTCTCAATTTGTACCATTAATTTAAAGATCAGTCTTAGGGTAAAATTTCCATAAAATGGCTCAAGGAAAGTTATGAATGATACTAAATGCATATTCTGTCAGCCAGCTATAAAATAAATAAATTAATTAAAAGTATTCTTTCTCTTGTTGAAAACTCAAATTCTGAAATTACTCAGAGATAACTGAAAATGGGTGGAGATCAGTTTTTACTTACTCAATTCCATTTTAAATGTAAGTTAACTTGTATTTTGCATTATTCATGTGTGTGTGTGTGTCTGTGTGTGTGTGTGTGTGCTTGTGTGTGTGCTTAAGAAGACTGTTTAACATATAGGCTCTGGCAGAACCTTGTAGCTCCACCAAAATAAATAAATAAATAAATAAATAAATAACAACTGATCTGCATAATCAACACAGTTCCCTCTGCTGTTTATTCTGACAAGGAGAAGGCTGTTAATAATGGAAGGACCAATATGTTATTCTGTGGGAAACAAACAACAAGACAACAAAACTTCCCTCCAGGCTGATAAACACTCAAAAGAAGAAATGTTTGTTTACATTAAATTTCAGAAATTGTACACATACGGCAGACCATCTTATAACTTCTTATTCTGAATTTTTTTGGGTCTCTTTGACAGTCAACCTGGTAGTATCTCAGAACTTCTCATGAAGGCCCTTAGTTATTGCATCAAAACCTCTCGTGTGTCAGTTCACAAAAAGCTGGATGAAAGCAACATGGTTGGAGGAATGGGTGGATGTGTATTCCAAGAAGCAATGATTCCCAAATAGAAATGAACTCGTCCTGTTTGCCAACTTTTCATCTATTGTTTCTGATTGCTTTTTTGGGAACTTCTGCAGCTCTATGGGACCTCATGCAAAAATTATATAAACACGTCATCTCTAAGACCAGCCTTGCAATCCTGGCTTCTGTGAGGACAAACCTGAACCTCAGGCAGATGGTATAAGAAACCCCTAAGATTTTAGCTGATTTATTCTAACTCTGAAGCCCTTTCAGGGTAGTTTGTCATGTGTTACTCACTGTGGTCTGGCACCAAACACAGTGCAGCCCCGTCAGGCCCTGGTAACATTTAACTGTTTTGTGGCACTTATCACACTTGGTTGGGCAGTTGCCTTCAACCCAATAATGGTGCATGACCTAGAATAGAAGAAAAACAGGATGATAAGAGGAGGTACTCATGATGACACATCCAGAAAGCCTGTGGGCCAAACTTACATCTGTGTTCTTCTTGGACTTCACATATGTCTTGATGCAGGATGGAGGGGCTCTGGCCACACAGCGCTCATGGACTGTGTACTTGCAGACTGAAAGGAAACAGGTATACAGATTCAGAGCTGCCCCTGGTCCTGATTGCCATTTTACAAGGGGGGATGACATTAACAGAACCTCATTTCACATCCACAGTTCCCTAATCAATCCAATCAGCCACATCAAGGAAAAAAGTCCAAGTCGGCTGTTTTTATCATGGAATACAAAAGGCCAATTAGTACAGGAAATAGTATGCATATGAGAAACCAAGTCTCCTCTATCATGGCATAGCAGGAAATGCTTAATTAAATCAGTCCTTGCTCAAATTTTTCACAATAATTCCCAGATGACAAAAATATTAAAGACAAATTGATGGCTGCCAAATGGCTTAGTGTCATTTGTAGAAGGAAGAGGTCTATATTTCACAAAGTACAGACGTGAGAGCAGCTGGCAGGCATGGGAGTGAATGCCTATGGTGTATACTGCTTTGTATATTGACTTATCTAAACATTAAAGGGCATATTTGTCTATATCTAGAAAATAGATTTCATCATCCATGTCAGGCCTTCAGGGAATTTCGTCTTTCATATTTCATCATGATATTGTTTCTCCAAAACCACTCCGTTCACTAGGCAACCTGTGGTGCTAAGAAGCAAAATTTGGCATTTATATGAACGCACATATACATACATAAATACCAGCAAATGTATATGTGTATGCATGCATGTAATCAGTGCCACAAAACAAAAACATACACTTGGGGGGGGGGAGTTGCATCTCTACATCTTGTGGTTTCAATTTAAATATTGGTTGAGTTACTTATTTAAACTGAATGCTGACCCCAAACTAATGACTCAGAGTTCACAAATACGTAGACATTTGCAAAAGTAAACATATCAACACCTTAAAAATTAACTTCTTGAATTATTAATGAAATGCATATAATGCTCATAGCATTTTATAATAAAACTCTGGAACATCCTGTCTGTGAGTTCTTCAGGGAAGAGCCAGGAAGAACACATACCGATGACCATTTTACAGTAAAAATGTGTTCTTTCTATTATACCCCACACCTTCTTTGAAAGTTATCTTGTTTCAATCAAATAAATCTGCCCTAAAATGTTCACTCCCTTAAAAAGTTATAGAAGTTGTTTTTATTTGCATTTCCATAAATGCCTTTCCCTGGTAATGAGATTGATGACTAACTTATCCACCATCATAGAGTCCTCATCTAGCTGCTGATGGAAACAGAAGCACACACCCACAGCTAAACACTGAGCAGAACTGGAATCCAGATGCAGAGAGGGAGGACAAGACCAGGCTACAGAAACCCACAGAGACAGTTGACCTGAACAAGGAGGAGCTAATGGGCCCTCAGACTAATAGCTGGGAATCTAGCACTGGACCAACTCAGACCCACTGAACATGGGTCTCAATTAGAAGGCCTGGGCAGCTTAGAGACCTCTGACAGTGGAACCACATTGTATCCCTGGTGCTCAAAAGGACTTTGGGAGCACATTCCCCATGGAGGGATACTTTCTTAACCTAGGGGCAGGAGAAAGGGCCTAGACCCTACTCCAAATGACTTGATAGATTGGATTTGCCTCCTGTAAGGCATCACCATCCCTGTGGAGTTGGGGGGAAGATGGGATGGTAGGGTGATCAGGGTGGTATGGGAGGGTGGAAGAGAGAGAGGAAGGGAGAGGGAACTGGGATCAATATGTAGAATAAGAAAAATAAAGAAATAAGAAAAGTTTTTTAAAGTTATAGAAGTTCTGAAGCTGGTTTTTCTGTTTGTTTTGTTTTCGAACATGGTGAATGTTCTAGTACATATGAATCTTCCAAAGTGGCTATTAGAAATTTTCTTCTTATGTAATATGTGACAAATGTAATCTTTTAAAATAATTTTTGTTTAAATTAAAAACAATCTTAATGTACATATCAAGCCCAGTTCCCGCTCCCTACTGTTCTCCCATTCCCACTCACTAACTCCCCCAATCCACTATCCAGGGAGAGTGAGCCCCTTTTGGGGGATCATCATCAAAGTCTGTCATTTGGGGCAGGACTTATACATCATTTGGGGCAGGACCTAGGCCCTCCGCTGTGTATCTATGCTAAGAGAGTATCCCTTCATAGGGAATGGGCTCCCAAAGCCCATTCTTACACTAGGCATAAATACTGGTTCCACTGCCAGAGGCCCCATACATTGCCTAGGCCTCCCAACTGACACCCACGTTCAGTGGTCCTGGTAAAATGATCGTAGTGCTCTAGAAATTATGTAATCTATGACATTAAGTACCGTTTTTAATGTCAAGTAATACCCCTAGAGAGACAAAATTTCAAAGCATACTACAATGCAGAAAAAGATATGGCTTAACTGATGATCAGTAGAAAATTTCCTCCCTACCTCAGGGACTATCAACTTTATTTTCAGGTAACAATGCTATAAGTTAAATAAATACTAGATAATTTTATAAATTAGCTAACACATAAGTGCACAGCCACCCTCTTAGAAAATCTCTAACTGGTAATGCAGATTTATTGGAATAAAATAAATATTGTAAGGCAAGGGGACCAAAGTTATCAAAAATGAACATAATTTATAGTGCCTTATGTACCTATGGCTATACAATTCATATGAATATTTTTAAGTAAAATAATGTGTCTAAGGGATTAGGGATATGGTTCAACAGGTAAAGGATTTGCCTCACAAAGACTAGATTTTAGCTCCTAAACACTTATTAAAAAAAAAAAAAAAGGCCATCTATGAGGCTAGCACAGTTAGTGGAGACAGAGTCTCCCAGGGGCTAGACTAGTTGAGATGTGAGTCAGTAGGAGAATCTAAGTCAATAATGAACGTGTGAGAAACCAAGGAGGTCAAACTTGAACCTCCACATGAACACAAAATCACACATGGTAATTATAAAGTTTTTGATAATTTCAATGAATAAGATCTATTTTTATTCATTTGATCTGTCTTTTTTTTTTTAGATTTGAAGGTATTTTCTCACTCTGAAAAGCTAATTACAAATAAAATGGTTAATGTATGAGTATAAAATATAAAAAAGATATACGTATGAGAAAGTAGTGGGAGATGTCTAAATATTCCAAGGAGAGATGAGAAACATGAATACATGAAATTAAACAACATTAGAAAGAAATGTCTAAGGAGTTGGAAAATATCATTAATTTCTTTTGAAAGGAAGTTTGCAGGAGCCCTGAGCATTGAGAAGCTACAGGGAAATACACTCCATAAGTGTCACGGTCTCGGGCACGTCACACAAATAAAATGATTGAATGAACTCAGTTTTCCCTCAAGCAAGGTGACGCCTTCAAGTCAGAGCCAGTGTACTTACAGGAGCAGCAGAGGCCTTGCTTCCCCACGCCAATCAGCATGTTCAGACAGAGATTGCAGTAGGCAGGCTTGTTAAAGTGCTTGAGTCGCCACACATGCTGTCCATCATCCTTCACATTCTGCACAGACCGTGAGAGAAACAGATTTTACTTAATGGAATAAACAGTAGACTCTGTAAGTGCCAATAAAGAAAGCTCAGGCTGGACCGAAGCATCTGAAGACAATCTGTTCCCTCATCTCTGACTCTCTACATACAAGACTGCCACGGGGACTTCAGAAAAACACGTGAGCTCTAGCCTGACCAGATACCACCAACGTTTCTGAGATGCTGTGACAACCCATGAAATCTTGTCTAATGTGAACAGTTGGACAGCATTCCCTGCCACTGCCACAATGGATGCCAAACAAAACTCTCCCTGAACAAGGGACATGCCTGCTTCGCCTTTCAGGGCTAACACACAATTCCACAAACAAACGAATAAAGGAGAGAAGATCTTGGTGCGAGCCTATAATTGGAAACCTGTAAAGACTCTTTAATAATGTCTTTGTGTTGGGAAAAACAGAACTCAGAATAAAGTTAAGTTTTATAAGACAGAAAAATGGGGTGTAATGTCATGAACCATGTTTAAAAGTCAGACATAGTGATTCTAGAACTTTTAGTGTAATCTTTAAGAATATATTCTGTATTAAGTACTAACTTTGATGAAGAGGACAAGGACATAATTATATTATCATTAATTTAGCTTTCTTGTAAGAATAGTGATTTTATCCATAGTGAAAGTTTGTAAAAGTGTAAAAATTCATTATCATGTTTATAAAAATCACTGTAGTTACATGCCACAATAAAACCCTGGGTTTATATTAATTCACAATTTTTGTTAAAAAAAATGCTATATAGTTTACTATGCTAATTTAATCTACACAATATTTTAGTGACTAGTGGTATTTATTACATCTAAAGATCAAAATACACAAATTTATAGGATGCTACTTTATGTTTAAAATCTCTATAAAAGAGCCAAAAACATTACATGAAGTTATCATGTTACCATCATTTTGTATATTATTACATACCCTACATATCACATTCACCAATTTGTGTGAAACTGAATTACGAAATTACTGACAGATATTCTATCAACACTCACACAATTCATAATATTTCAAGATAGCAAGTTACATACTTCTTACAGAGTGCTCACCAATTAATATCTGTATATATATTACATATTTTGGAACTATAGAAGGATAATACAAGCACAGATCATTTTATTTTTATTAATAATAAAATATCAATAATAATGTTTCTAACTACTCTCCTCTTACCACAGTAAAAGGTAGGACACTGATTTATAATATCCATAAATCCATAGTAACTAATTCTCACATTAGAATTAGAAATGTCAAATTTGCATCATAAGATGAAACATTAATGAAATTGCTTCCTGGGAGGTACTTATCAATGGGCCCCTTGAAGTTCTGCAAGTTTTGAAGACAGAAGCACTGAGTTGTTTTTGTCCCAAGAAGACACTTAAAACACAAGTGGTTATTAAATACATTGCACAATAAAGACTCAACTCAGTCCATGGGAGAGAACAGGCTCATATGATATCCTTGCTAATGAAGACAGGCTGAACAAACTTCTGTCCTACATAGAGACTGGATTCCCAATTCAAGGTACCAGGCTCTGAGTTGAGTGTTGCATTCCTCAGCTCACTTCTTTAATCTCCTTAGGCTAAAGGAGAAAGGCAAGCTTGCTCAACTTTGAGATGCCTAGTGCTATAAGTAATACAGCCAACTGTCTCTGGCCCAGGGAGTCTCATGCTTTCTGGTACTCGGAAACTGTAGAGAGCTGATCCCTTACTTTAAATAACAGATTAGTTTCAGGCCTTTTTTAATTTCTTAGCAATATTCAAATTTGTCTTTTGGGATAAGGGGCTGGAAAGCTCTCAACAGAAGCAGCTATGAGAGGATGCAGATGACTATCATGGAGGCCACATCATGAGACAGAATTTTAAATATTTTCCTCCATAATTTAAAAAATAAGCTTCTCAGCTAGAAGGACTGATCAGTCTAAGGGTCCTCAGACAGTAGAACCAGGATGTATTCCTGGTGCACAAAATGACCTTGCAGACACATCTCCCATGGAAGGATACTCCCTTAACCTAGAGACAGGAGGGAAGTCCTAGTCCCTACTTCAAATGACTTGTCAGATTTACATGACCCCACCTGATTGGCATTGCCCTACAATTGGAATTGGAGTGGGGGATGGGAGGGGAGGGTGGTCAGGGTTCATGTGAGGGGGGGGAGAAAGGGTAACAGGGAGGGAGGGAGAGAGAGGGAACTGGGATTGACATGTAAAATAAAAATAATAATAATAAAAAATAAGCTTCATAGTAATTCTGAGTTCAGTACTGGTTTGGATATATCATCATACTTTTAGTAGCTCTGCAATCTAAAGAAGATAATAAATGTTTAACTTTGCTCTATTTTATGATCTGTATTTTTTATTCCATCGTGATAAAAGAATTAAACATCTTGATATAAAATATTACTATGAGACTGCGATTTTTGGTACTCTTTGAAAGTAGCAGTGCATTGCTTTAAGAAATTTTCGACTAAAATGAGAAAGGGATACATTCTACTTTCCATATGCTTTGCTGTTTTTATACTCCCTGTCATTTAATTTTAAGTGATTGTCCATTCCATGTGAATAAGCATCATCCTGTTGGAGAGCACATATGGACAAAGTTAGCTGGCATTTTCCTTATCAAAAAATAAACAAGTCTGAACGTGGGTGTTCTGTCAATCAGAATACTTAGCCATGTTACAGGCTGCAAGTGATGTACAAATCTATTACCCAAGCAGAAAATGCTTTACCAAAAAAAAAAATCAGTTTTATATCTCTTAATCCAATGTACTGTCTAAATATGCCATAGATGAAATATGTATGTGGCTTCTCTCAGAGAAGAAATGGGAACCAAGAGCCACGTCCTTCTCAGTAGTGCAAATTGCAACCTGGCTATCCAGATTTCATGTCTTGTCCTGTCTTATTTAGATTATATACTTGGTAGAAGAGAGAGAATAAGTCTCATTCTATATGAAGAATGCATTTGTATTAATGTTTTAATAGCAAATAAATATTTATCAAAAAAGAAATTCACATTCTTATGGAATGGACAGAGAATTTAAAAGGCCTGAATCCTAGTCTACTACAAAATGTGAAAACTCTATCTCACTTTGCTCTCTGCTCCCCTGTCTAATAAAATTAAGGCACCCACTTTCTTTTCTCAGGACATAATGTGAGGTTTCATTATATAACACCTGTGAAATTAATATATCTCCTTGAAGACTGGTGTTATAGAAACAGCAAGTATTATTAACATCATAGGGTTGAGTTGTGTAACATCAAAATGTCCCAGCCTAACAAAACTGAGAAGGATATGCTCTGGGTCCATTGTACCTTATTTTACAAAATTTTGCTTTTTTCCACTCCCTTTATCTCATATATAACACAGTTCTGTGCTTGGGACAGAAAATACTGTTGAGTGATTCCTGGACGAGTCCCCAGTAAGAAAAAGCTCTCAGCATATTTCCTCAACTTTCAGTTTTCTAAAACCCAAACATATGTGGGAAAATGAAAAGAGGAATGCCTTTGCCTCTATTGTTATTTGCCTGCTTATGCTACAGTTCTGAAAGTTTATTTTTTCCTTAGCATTTCCCAGGATGTACACACATTCAAGTGAATTAGGGCTACTCTAAATGTTATTTTTGAAGGACTTTAAAGAGATATTTAGCTGATATCCCAGTCCAAATCCCTCCAATCCCACATCTTACCAAGTTTCTTGAATACATAGAGTGAAATTTTCAAGTTGCTCCCATTGGTTTGATAGTGACCATTATGGTATCTTGATTATTTTGTCCAATAGCTATAAAAATTATATCACTACAATAAAATCTATTCTCTTTGGCAAAATGTCGAGCAAGAAGAATTCAAAGAGATGTGTTAACATCTAGACAGAGTCACAGTTGGTTGCTCATTTCAAGACTATACTTTCTGCAGTCAGGAGGGAGTCCTGCCATCCTTAGGGCTCCAATCAAAGTGTTCAGCATATCACACTATATAATAACATAATGGTTTTCCCTCAATAGCCTGCAATGGACTCCTGAATCTTGTCTGGTTTTGCAATTCCTTAATAGATTGCATAGAGAGTAGAAAAAATATTTCTAACCAACTTAAAAATTTTAATTGAAATGTGGCATATCAGTTTTTTTTCCAATTATGATTTTGTTTAATTAAAGCATATCACCGACTGTCACTCATAAGACTCACCAGGGAACACATCCCTTCCTTGTTATTAATTCAAGTAGAAGAATGAAGAAAAATGTACTCTTAAACATTCTTTATCAAAGGCATAGTATATATTACATATAAAGACTAAATGCTATGTTTCTTTGAAGCCATGTAGTGAGATGAAAACATTTCATTCAAATGCAGCTCAAGCTATAATGAAAAGGCGAGGTTTTTCCTTCTAGTACTATGTTTGCCAAATGGTTGTGTTGTGAGAGACTATCTTCTAAATATTCATGTTTGTTCTTCTCCACCAGGACACCTTTAAACCATCGTCTGAGATACTACGTTACGAAGCAGGCAGCAGTCAAAGCAGAGACTATTAATGGGTCAGTGTCAAGAATAAGTGACTGTGAGTTCTCAGTTCCAAATGGGACACCTTTGTCCCTGCCATGTCAATACTCACAGAACCGCAAAAAAGAAGTGGATGTGCGAACAGTGTATGAGCTGGTGGAAGGGAAGGAAGGCTGGGAACTCTGTCTTCTGGACATGACATGGCTATTGCTCTCATGAACTCACAGCACACGTGCTTATCTGACCATGATACACATCTAAGCCAGCCAAAATGCAGACATAGATGAGGGAGGCTCATGAGAATGCATCCTTAACTGGAATTCTGTTGGCAGCCAAGAGGTCCTAACCAAGGCTTCACAACCTTCCTATTGTTGCAACCCTTTAATACAGCTCCTCATGTTGTGGTGACATCCGACCGTACAGTTATTTTTATTACTACTTTATAACTGTAGTCTTGCAACTGTTATGAGTCATAATGAAAATATCTGTATATTCTGGTGGTCTTAGATGACCTTGTAAAGGGGGTCCTAACCCACAGGTTGAGAAGCACTGTACTAAGGAGAGACTGTGACCACCGGCATGTTATGTGTGCTAGAGTGATGGGCCCTACAGCCATGCATGTGAGGGTTGCACTAAAGAGAAAAGGAGGTGAAAACTGGGGGTGGGTGGTACAGGATCTGATTTTGTTGATTGTAGGTATGAATTTCTCAAAGAACACATTTAAAATAAAATCAAATCTTTTTGTACGTTTTGCTTTTGTTTTTGTTTCTGCTTTCTTGGGAGAGGCTCCCACTCTGGCTGTTTGGGAACTCTTCATGTCAAGTAAGTTGACCTCAAACTCACTGGTGGTCTCTCTCTGCCTCCTAAGTGCTGGGCTTAAAGGCCTGTGCCACCAGGCCTGCCTACAACTAAACAATTTCTTAAGAGGGGTTAATGTTTCTTATTTCAAGCAGACAAGAGTTTTAAGTACTATTTTATGACAATATAATAAAAATTTTTAATGTTAATGATTGCAGATTGTTAACATAAGGTTAGGACTATAGATTTCAGAATTGAAGCATTCTATCTCTTGCATCTGAAGGAGGGAGTTCTTCAATTCTGAAGTGTCAGGAAAAGGGCAGACATGTTCAGGGCTGTCTCTTTTCCTCGTTAGTTAATGACGCTGTGGGGGACTACCTGTTTGAAGATATCTGTGTTCCGTGCTCTTTTTTCTGTTACTGCTCATAGCTAGCTTGAGTTGTCAGTGCTCCTAAATTTACACTCATTTCTCTGCTTCTCAAGATTAATTAAAAATTAATTGAAGTTTCTTTTGTTTGTTAGGTGTAAACTCAGAGTGAAGGCCCACCTAGTGACTCATACCTATAGTACTAGCACTCAGGAGCCTGAGGGAGGATCTTAAGTTTGAGGCCGGCCTGGACTGCATAATGAGACCTCACTAATGAAAACAAAAGCAAGCAAGCAAACAGAACAGTGACAGACTAGATCAAATTCTGACAAACCATAGCACTGGTCAAATCTGGCTAGTAACTTGCTTTTGTGAATAAAAAAATCTTTATTGAACCAGAGCTTTGTTCAATCATTTATATAAGAACTGTGACTGGTTTTATCCTACCACATCATGGAGGGGAGTTTAGATAAAGATATGTGGCCCTGGTACCTAACTTATTTCCTATCTTTTATAGTCAGTGTCTAGTCTCTAAAGAAGTAGTAACTATTAACAAATAGTAACATTTTTATTTGCTGGTAGCTGGAAATATGTTAGCCTTGTTTCTGTCACAAACCTGCAAGCTTCCTTCAACAGTGGTCATCTCTTGTTCTCTTGTGCCTATGGGTGACTTTCTGGGTATCAATGCCACCAGCTACTCATTGCTGGTCTTAAGCATTGTTGGAGTCACATTTAAGATCAGGTAGAATGGTCAGGCCAGTGCTCAGTGTTCCTCCAGCTTCTGGAAGTTCTTCTTCGTGGCTCAAAACCTGAACCTATCACAGAGAACTTGGATTCCTGCCATGATTTTACAAGGACACTATTCTGAAATGGCAGAGTGAAGTTGGGCCCTCTCCTTCTGTATGTAATGAAGAAAACTTTGTTTTCTAAGTTTTGAGGTGAAAAAGTGACAAAACATATTACTATTAACCATTTCAAGCAAGCCTTATATACTGACTGTCTCGGAAGACACGACTTTCAGTTTTGTTTTATTTATTAATCTGAGTTTTATAAGATTTAAGCTAAAGTGTTACCCAGAAAGCAAGCAAGCAAACAAACAAACAAAAACCCTAAACATTATTCAATGACATGAATCCTCAAAGGGGAGGACATAATTCTCAGGTCACCAAACTAACAAAGCTCTTAAATTCCCCTCACAGCTCTAAGATGGCAACAGTTTGTCCTTTTCTGATTAGTTTATTTGGAATTTTGTGACGTTTGTAGAAACTCTTAGACAGGAAAAGATATGGCAGCCACGCTCTAGTAATTTAGTGAGTATCAGGTCCCGAGGAATGGCTATCCTGAATTGTGGAGCAAAGCAGTCACTCTTGAAAATAGAGAAGCGCCTGGAAATGTGTTGAAGAGAAATAAGGTACCATGCAATCAAGTGCTGTTCTAGCGTCGTGCTGTCGGAGGTCCACTCTTTGTCAAGACAGGACAGTGTGGTTAGCTCACTGCAGTTGCTTTCATATACACTATGAGAGTTAGGAGGTGGTCAATTAGAATCTGCTCCCCAAGATCACACCCGAACATACACGCGAATATACAGAACAGTTTAACAAAGCACACCTAATATAAATGGCCCATTTCAAGATGAAGTGCCTGGATCGCCAATTTAATAGCCCACAATCAGGGTGGATGTGGAGTAGAGGGAACACAGCATGTCATGAAAAACCTCCTCTGTTAGTGATAACACAGTAAGGATCCTCAGCAGAGAAGTTTCAGTTCCTAAACACAATGGCTTTCTCATCACTCAACTATCTTTAGATTGATTTCAAACTATTGCATTATACTTTTATATAAAAAATTAAAATATGTGAAATTCCTTTTAAAATGGTTCTTTACAGCAAAAAAGAGGGTCCATGTCATATTAAAATAAATAAATAAATAAATAAATAAAGCTATCTTCGTATTAAGCAATGTTGCCCTGCCATCTAGTGGCTATAATTGGGAACACAGTCCTGATGACTAAGGAACTCCTACCCCCAATCGATTTCTCCTATTAAATTCCAATCCTTTTGCACTCAAAACATATGGGATTAATTTTCAAAGACAGTTATAACATAAACAATGTAACTGCTATGATATTAAAATCAAAACATTTTCATACAGTTACTGCCACACTAAAATGAAGTATACCATTTCTTTAAAACACTCTGATTTAAAATGTTATAGATCTATAGTTAAATAATGCTATGTTTTAATAATTTTTAAAGTATTTATGTAGTATAATATTTTAAAATCACCAAATAATTACCTCCAAATAAAAATATCTGGTCAGGTTTTTTGTTTGTTTGTTTTGTTTTATCTCTCACTTCAAGCTAACAAACTCCTTGCTTTTGCCCTGTTTCTTTCTGTGGAGCCAGGGATGATGTGGTAGACAGGTGCTGTCCCATTGTGCCACGTCGCTAGCCCCAGAAAACTACACATCCCTCATACATCCCACACCTTCCTGCCTTCCCCCCCCTCCTCCCATGTGATCACTTCCACCTAGAACATCCAAATTTTAGTTTTGAAATTGTGAGGTTAATTTCTGAGAAAGGGGTATTTTTGGAAGATCCTCGGTGATATTTGTTTATGATATAACAAATAAAGCTTTCATGAAGGAGAAAATGCAAAGGTAGACACAGTAGCTACCCATAGAGGGTAGGTAGTGGTGGCACATGCCTTTAATCCCAGCACTCAGGAGACAGAGACAGATGGATCTCTGTGAGTTCAAGTCTACCCTGGACTACATGAAGTGAATTAGTCTAAAAGACAAACAGAACTCACACTTTGATCTCAGCACTTGAAATCACATGCCTTTAATCACAACACTAGAGAGATGGAGACAAGAGTGATATGGCTTGGCAGAAAAAGGAATTTAAGGCAGAGGAAGCAGGACTTTGTTGGAGTCTGGGGGTTTGAAGAGACAGATGCAGTCAGATTCAATCTGAGGATTCCTGGGGACAGGATCAGGCCCTTTTAGTAGAGAGAACAGCTAGTGGCTGGCTGCTTTGCTTACTTGACCTTCAGTTTTAACCCTAATATCCATCTCTGTGTTTCTATTATTAATACCAAGTAGACTTTTGCTACAGAGCCTAACCTAAATTATCTGATAGCTGCACTTTAATGCGTAAACATTAAAACTTTGCAATTTTATTGTTTTCCTTTTATTTTCCTTGTTGATCTGTTAACATTATGCTTTCCTCATAATTTCCTTATAAAATATTATGTAAGTATATGTGAATTAATCATTAAAAATTAGAGATTATGTACAGCATAAAAATTCAAAACATACTTCATCAATTTTCAAGGTGAATGTGTGTGTTAGTTCCCTTGAGTGGGTTTTCTTTTCATTTTTGTAATCTTGCAGTTATTTTTATCCTTATTCATATTAAGTAGACAAATAATCCCTAAGCCCTGAAAGTGAATAAATATTTTAAAAAACCTGAATTGTGAACAATAGCATTTACATTTTAATAATGTATTTTTATATTTTTATTATAAATCATCTTATTTTACATATAAATCCCAATTCCCTCTCCTTCCCATCCTCCTGAAGTCCATTTACATATTCCTACTATATCCACATATATTCCTAAACCGTAATCCCATTTATATTTCCTATACACATATGTGCATATGTGCAACATTTTTTTTTTTTAACATGGATTTGTGTTTCACAAAACCACACTGTGGAATTACTAGAAATTAAGAGACACATGGTGAATGATAGAAAATGGCCCAGTCAACTAATCATCAAAGGCTGCCAAAGAGTATCTCATGCACCCAGCCACACACCCTCCTGAGCGCAAAGGCTTACACTTTCCAAGCCCAGTAGCACGAGAAGCGGAATAGTGGTCATTCCTCCTTGAATCCACTCCTCCAGAGACACAGTGCCATCACGGTCATAGTCAATTTCTTCCATCATTTCATGAAGGATCTGGAAAAAGAATTGATTTATAAAATCCCTATTATTCAGCAGAGCATTGACCCCCCACTGGTTAGGCCATACTGTGACTTACACTTAGTGAGAATAGAGAAACATATCTACAAATAAATACATTAATTCTGTTATTGGGGAAAGATAATTGACTTTGTTATGATTTCAAGAAACAGGCTTTCCTTGATATTCTACTTTTAGAAACAGTAACTCAGTTTTTAAACTTTTCCACCCTCCCAAGGGAAAAAAGTGAAAATTGAAAGGTACTTTTAATCTAAAGATGAAAGTAGTCTCTAATTACTTCCTCAAGATTACTTTTTAAGTTCATATATATGCCAGAAAGTGTCTGGACAAATTAACATCATGGCAAAGAGCTGAAATATTTCTTTCTTAAGTAGTAATGGGTGAGGGAATTAAGTTGTTCTTAATTGCTTATAACAATTTAACAGAGCCCAAACTTAACGACTTGATCACATTTGATTAGATTTCTTTAAAGACTTATTGCAAGTAATATACAACAATGTGTGACTGTGAAACAGTCGCCTCTTTATAGTGTGGTGATAATGTGGATAGTTATTTTGAAGGTTTGGGAAAATGGAATGAGATGATGTATTAGAAGTTAAAGACCCCTGGCACAAACCCGAAGTTCCATGTAGGGTTTGGGTGATTATTAACAAAAATATATACATATTTAGGTATACATAAATTTATACATATGTCTAGGAAAATCAGGTAGATAAACATGGTAAAACTTAAGAAAAATAAGGAATGCATTGCCTTTATATTATAAGAACATTTTAATCACTTTGAAAAATGCATCCAAACAGCTTGAGAACAATGATCCGAAAAGGTGTTATGAATGTGACCCTTGAATTGGAAGTATAAAAAGTATTCTGTAGCATTCTGCTGTTTGCTTGGTGGTGTCTTTTGTCAGATTGTTTTCTTCCCTAGCAACACAATGATCTATTGGGAGGAGAAAAAGACTTTGAGAAGTGTGGAGCACACAAAGAATGAAAGACAGAAGATTTAGAATTAGGTATAATAGCATAAGATCTGATTAAAACATTCCAGGACTCAGGAGAAGGAAGAGTGGGAACTTAAAGCAATAAGGCAATACTATACTAAACCATGAGATCCTGTCAAAGCAAAGAACAATGCATGATGAGACTTGTCTCACAAAACTATGGCTTTTTTTTTTTTTTTTTTTTTTTTTTGTAATGAAGGGTCTCTGTAATTAGCTCAAGTTGGCTGAATGGCTCAACTTCTTTAGTACTACCAGAGTGATGGGACTGAAATGATGCAGCACTTATACTCAGCCTCATACTTTAATAACTCATGCTCAGTAAACTCAGTGTTAGAGTCTGGATTCATATAACAAAGGTTCTTGCCAAGGATATCTAGATCTTCCTGTTAGTTTCTACCAACCTCATGGTGTTCACTTTCTCTATTTGTGTAGATGAAAAAAGTCTATAAATGTTAAAAGAAAAAGAGCTGCTAAGGCTGTAGCAAGATAAGTTGGTGCACTCTGACAGCAAACACATGCTGAAAGTAAGGATGTTTACATAACTCTCACCATTTGGAATGTACAGATGTGAGGACAATATTATCAGGATAACTCAGGACTAATGATGCCATGGCTGTTATTTGTAATCTCCAATAGATATCAGTCATAGTCAAATGTCCAGCCACAAGTTTCTGCCTCCTTTGGAATACCCATATTTCACTTTGGAACAGTAGTAAGCACCCAAAACTATGTTTTTTGGAAAGCTGGTGGTATCATCTTCTGCTATGATAACTGACAAAAACAGATAACCCCTTTGTTTGCTCCCACAAGAATAAGCATATGAACAGTTAACAGTTGTCACAGACAGAAAAGTTAAACAGGTGGGAAAATCCTATTTTGGTTTTTGGTATTTTTTTTCTGATCAAAAGGAACAACAAAATGATTTCAGTAGATTATTGAGATGAATTCTCTGATGAATTAAATACAAAACTTACCAATTCTTTGAGTTCCACAGACAAACTACAAGAATGACAGTATCACCTGCTGTGAGCACAGCAGGCACATTTCCACCACAAAAAACAATGAAATTTAAATACAGTTGAATTAGAATCTCACTCTTGGTAAGAATGGTGTCACCTTGATTAAGACAGAGCTTTTGCCTCAGACTCCTGCCTTTATCATGATAGTAGCTGTATAATATGAGGGCTGGTTTACAAATAAGTTTCTCAGATTCATATGGTATGCAGACCTTTTAAATAAATCGAATTGCTTCCTTCACGGCATTTCATAAACTTAATGCGCTTCAACAATAAAGCAGCCCACTGTCTCCCATCAATTTCCCCCCAAATATTATTTATGTCTAAAGTTAAATTGCCTAAAAAGGAATGTTTCAATACATTTTAATGATGCTAGAGTTTTTAAAAAATTCATACACAATAAGACATCTTCAATTTCTTAGAAGACATCTTTCTTTTGTGTTTATTCATTTTGGAATTTTTAAAAAGCCCTTTCTACTTTTTAAAACTGTTTATATATATATTGTTTTTATTTAAATTAGAAGCAAGCTTGTTTTACATTATCAGTCCAAGTTCCCTAACCCTCCTGTCCTTCCCTGTTTCTCCACCAACCCCCATCCCATCCCCTTTCTGCTCCCCAGGGAGAGTGAAGCTTTTCATGGGGAATCTTTACAGTCTGTCATATCATTTGGAGCAGGGCCCAGGACCTCCCCTATGTGTCTAGGCTGCAGGAGTGTCCCTCTCTCTATGTGGAATGGGCTCCCAAAGTGTATTTGTCTACTAGGGATAAACACTGATCCACTACCAGAGGCCCCATAGACTGCCCAGTCCTCCTAACTAACACCCACATCCAGGGAATCTGGGTCAGTCCTATGCTGGTTTCCCAGCTATCAGACTGGGGTGCATGAACTCCCCCTTGTTCAGGTCAGCTGATTCTGTGGGTTATCCCAACCTGGTCTTATTTTTATTTTCTCAAACATGGCGTCTTTTAACAAGTTGATAAAAATTTCCTAGCTGTTTCCGCCACATAAGGAATAAATAAATCAGTGAATCCTAGAGCCTCTTCTGTAGCATGATCTTGGCAGTGGCCGTCAGCAGTGTCAGCTTATCCCTGTGTATGTAATCTCACCATTCAGAACAAAATAACCAGGAATAGAAAGCCAAGGTCACTGTCTGCAACTTCAGAAGACCACATGGACCATATCATTCCATGCAGAATCAACTCATCTTCTGGTTAGATATAATAATTGAAACACAAAATTTAAAAACAAATGATCACAATATATTAGATCCCAAGAACACTGGAAAGGAAAGCGTCCGTGCACACATCAGTGAATACTTCCCTCATCCATATGCTTACCGGGTTAAGTTCAGTGACATCCCATTCCAGGTACTCTGCAACGTGCATCATCTGGCTGATGATATTTTCTAGTTCCTGGAAAATGTGGGAGGGGATGGAGGATGTGAGGAAGTGAGGAAAACAGAAAAAGTAGTTAATCTTGGATTTAGAGCATTTTTGTTCAGCTAGCACAAAAGTTTAATTGGTTGTATGACCAATTTTTGAAAATCATATACATACTCAGAAGATATTTATATATTTTAACAACATAGAAAGAGTGGCTAAATCTAAATTTTATTAACTGTTATAAAGCCTTATAACTGATACACAGAAAAAGGTAGTGTAAAAATCCATCCTGCCCCTCAGTTTAAAACGTCACCAGAAGAGGGCGCCACAACACCAAACAGAACTTTCCTAGAGCCAAAATTTCTTGAAAAGTAGGAGTACATGTGCTTTTTCTCAAGTCACCAGAAGCCCTGAGACTTGAGGTCACAAAAAGACACCTGAGAGCTTCATTTCTATTTTCATGCACTGAGAACATATGTGATCATGCTGGTCACTTCTCAGTATACTTCATTAGAATGGTGTTTTGGGATCAAGGTTTGGAGGCTAAGCATATGCAGGGTTTATTTGCTGAGAAGGTCAAATTTTGTTTAAAATTTCATATTCTGTCCTAGTCTTGGCTCTTTGAAGAAGTGCTAGTGAATACACATGGATTGGGTAAATGAATTTGAATTATTTTTAATGTATATACCTAAAGCTTTGTTTTCTCAACTATCTCAAGAAAAACAATAATGTATTTTCATGTTTGTTTACCTATAGAAATTATTTTATTTAAAAAGTAGTATTTCTTTTAATTTGAAATGTAAAATTATATAAAGATGAAGCTTGAAATTATATAAAATCAAAGACTTTTCTACTGGAATCCTTGTCACATTTGGTTACAGTTCATGAGATAAAGACAGTAAGTAATATGGCAAGAAGAGGTTAACTCATGAGGACCCAAGAGATTCACTGGGAAATGAATGAGAGCTACACTACTTCCAGAAGAAATGTAACTGATAGATATGTGATGTGAGAAATGTCACAGAAAATACGATTCAAGTAAACTTATTCGAGACTGCTAACTCGAATGCCGGTTGACAATTCAGTAGGAATTACTAACCTCTTATTCATTCCACCTTTGCTGTGGAGGTGTTAAAGCTTCTGGACCAAAGAACAGAAGCTATGGTTCACAGACTTTGCCATAGGCATGCAAATTAGATAAGTATATCTCTTAGATAGTTTCCTTACAAGTGAAATGGACATCCTAACCTAACCAGATTTGTGATTACCACAACGATCTACAAAGCTAATATGTGTCATTATATGAAATACATTCATCATGTCACCAGAGTGTTGAAAATAATCAATAAACATTAATAATAATGTGAGACACAGTCAGCATTCAAGTCAACAAAGTTGTTAATGTTTTGCTTCAAAAAGGTAAACTGTCATGTCTTTACTATATCATTGTAAAATTTTAAAAGTCAAAATATTAAGCTGATATTAAAGGAAATAGCAACTGTGTAAAAAAAAAAAACCTGGGGATTATATCTTTACATTTCATTTAAACAAAAAAGAAAATAGAAATTAAGAATTAATCTATTCATTCCCAAGTCAATGTTTGATATTGGGCATTTAATTATAAATGTTTGCAGCAATCAACTACATATGCTCTTTTAAAATGGCCATAATCCAGGGGGAAAAAAAGAACTTGACAGAAGTTTCAAATCAGTTGCCAACCCATGGCTAAATGCCTAGTTAAGACATATCATTTTAATTTAATTAAAAAGAAACATTACATAAAACAAATCTGCATTAGATGTATTAGAATATAATTTGCATTAGTGTAGACATGAATGATACAATAAACATTTTCAAACATCTACAAGAAATCAAAATGCCTTTCTGCAAATTGGCAATGGGAAAAAATGAGTAAGCTCATTCTGTATTTCAGTATTTCTAAGTGCAGATTAATGCATAGAAGTCAAAGGTACTCTGAAGTTTAGACCCAAGAAGTCCCCACGTTACAGCATCAGTTCATGGTGGAGTTCATTCTCTGATGAAGGAATCACAGTGTTTTCCTTCTCTCTGGAGAAGCAAACATGCTACAATTCTTAGTGCTATAGAAACACATGTCTAAGATCACTACTATCCTTGTAAAAGTCCATGTAGCAAGGTGGCTGGGCAGGTTAAGGCTTCTGCCACCAAGCTTGATCACCTGAGCTGGTGGAAGGAAGAGCTAAAGCCTGCACATGGTCCTTTTAACTCCACACATTCACAGTAGAATCAATGCACACAAACATATGCACAAGTAAATTCAGTACTTAGGTCTATTTGAGCCATAGCAACATTTGCCAGTAGAAAAGAAACATCCTCCAATGAATTATATCATCCACTTATGTGTGTTTCCTCACTGCTAAAAGTATTTTAAAAGTTAGAGCTGAGTCTGCTCTTCAGTGGTCCATGGGTTCAGTCTTCAGAATCACCACAATGACAATGCAGAAATCAATGAACTCACACAGTTGGGAATGCCTAAACCAACTCCAACATCAAGTATTGTATTACTATTTGTAGTTTTCCAGGAGGAACAAAATATACTATCAGCAAATACAGAATAGTATTGAGTGTGGTATGGAGTGCTGACATACACACTGGGTGTCTCATTTCTATTTCTCTGAAAGCCACCATTGAATCCCATATGTTAGAAATGAAACATTTAATTACACTTTTCAGGTTATCATTCAGGTGTACTCTTTGCCTTTCATTATTTTTCTGGCTTAATCTATAGAATGAAAGCTTCTCACAAAATTAGATGAGACCTTGTCAAAACAGATTTCTCACATCAAGTTATAAGTATATTTTCTTCCCTAAACTGCATTTATGAGTGAGAATACTTTAAGGGAGAAATTATCAATCAGTTTTACAATTTCTTTAGATTCTATATGCTTACTCAATTCTTTTTCTCAAAGGTGAAACTTAAAGGTATTTTTTCTTCTTTTCTAGGTCATGGTTTCAGCTCTGGCCTGCCTTATTCATAATGTTAGAATTCTCATTTATAAGGTTAGTGCAGAAATAAAGTCATTTTTTTCAAATCCATTGGATGGAATGCTCACAATCCTGTCTGTTCAGCTGACAAAAATGCTGCATGAGTAGATGTAAGTTCTATGAGATGTGTGTGCTTTTTGTGGGGATAGCTATGGATTGAGCCATTGCAGTTTTTAAAAACAAAATAACTATTTTGCATTTTCAAAGAAGTTTGAAGAAAAAAATTTACCGAGCTGTCCAGGAAGCCATTTCCATCTGTGTCATAAAGACGAAACATAACTAGAATAAGAAACATGAAAACAAAAGATTAATGATGATAAATGCCATATCAGGCAGAGTTCTCAAAATTTAGTTTCTGTTTAAGACAAATGCTTCAATTCCCCTGCTCAAAGCCTTTATTTGTGAGTTTTGCTAAATTGAGAATTAATTAATTGGTTAATTAAAATACTGGGTTTCCAATATTAAGTTTGCAAAATTCTGTTTGTATCTACAGAAAATTAAGTAGCATTATTTGCTTAAGTTTTAATTTTTGATCCTTAGTTATAATCTCAAATGTGAAGGAGAACTTGAATATTTATCTGGTTATTACAGGGCTGAGTGGAGGTTGGAAAGCAATGGATTTAGAATTGATGTAGAATTTCATAAATCAGTTAAAATTCAGAATTCGTGGAACTATTTTCTTATGCCTGACATGTGAATAACCACCCTGCCATTGGGCTCACACTTGCTTTGGCACTCAAGTGAAATGGGACACACAGGTGCATCCCAGAAGCTAGAGCCCACTATTATCATTTATCCTAAAGAATGTGAAAGAGGAAACAGAAGTTTATAATAAGAGATACAAATACACATACAGTACTGGCATTATCATTTGGTGTCTTAGGTTGGATCTGCAGCCAGGCTTCACTAGCTACCTCATCTTTAAACTAATCAAGGAAAGATATTCAGAGCACAGACTCTCCTACTGGGCTAAGAAAAGCTATGCAGGGGTCCAAGGCCTGAGGTCTCCCTTGTATAATTCAAAGACCCCAAAGGAGGCCATGGAAGAGGATGCAGGTGCCATATTAAGGTAAACACATGGGAAAATGATGCAGCTGTAAAAACAGAGGAGTGGAAGTGAGGGTTTATGTTAAGTTTGCATAATTTCCGGGAGGATCTTATATCTGTGTTATGTATTTTTATAGTGATATTGGTAACTTAGAGAGTGTGTACACTGTAATTATTCTTGAAATTAATTGTTACATAATTTCAACAACTAAGACATAATGTATACAAGTTACAAAATTATTCTGTATGTCACTATAAATTTTTAGATGTCATAAAATTAACTATGGCTGGAAGAAATGTATATTTATTGAATTAAGGTTGGATGAAATTCTAAGATATGTAACCAGGTTAAATATTGATCTCCCTTAAATATTTAGTAACTGAAGATAAAATGGTAAAAGTGAAAGAATAAAGGCTTCTGTAATGTAGACACTGAGCACCTAAGATTTTCTAGTATAGCATAAAATACTAAATATAATTTCATAAGTGAAAAGAATACACAGACTACCCATACAGCAAGAACAGATGAGACGTGGTAAGCCTAGCTCCAAATCAGACGTAGGGGCAGAGCAGCTCTCCTTATTTCTACTGGAAAATATGTCAGTAAAACCTACTCAAATGCCTCAAACATGTTGCAGTTTTCTGACCACTGGCAGCTGAACCAAGGGGACCCAATAAGAAAAGTTTCAATCTAGGAATAAGAATAGATGCATAAGAGTTCTGCCTGGGTGCAAATAGAATCTAGATAAAGTTAAAAAAAATCAGAAAAATAAAGAAAAGGGCATCACAAAATGCAAAATACATCCCAAATGTAGAATGAAAGAAAATGGGAAAGTGAATGAAGAAAATAAATTCAAGCAAGAAGTAAATAAAATTCTGCCTTTGAAATGATACATTCAAATAATATTTCCAGAGAATGTACCAAGTGTCATCAGTGATTAAGGGAAGATGTAAAAGAAGATGAAAAAGATCACAAGTGCTCAAACAACATTTACTGTTGAGAATGTGAAGACTCACTAGTTACTGGAAGAGAAAAGTAATCAAATAAGTGTAGGGCAGGCATTTGTTCTAGGAAACCAAAAACTATGCAGCCTGCTAAGTCTTTGAAAACTTTTCCTCTAAAAGCCATCTTTCTAAATAATATCGGCGACAGTACATTTTGAATCTTAAATATTAGTAATGTTCTTTTTCCTTGACACTTAAAGGCAGAGACAGACCATTATAAATTTATAGATGTTTTCCATACCAGAATCAAATAAGCCCAATATTCAAATTATTCTGTCAACTTGATGTTTCAAAGGTGAGGACTTGCTACAAAAGTTTGAGCTAGCTTAGCCCACTTTTTTTCTATTTTTATAATCATGTCATTTTACTTTATGTAGCAACAGTAATGTGCCCACACTTGAATTCAGCTAAAAGGTCAGAGCCGAGGCATATTATGTAAGATGAAAAAAATTCTATTTTTCTAAAACTTTTTGTCTTTCAAAAATTTTGAAAATTTCTGTCTAAGATTTTCACAGAATGCCTTTCAATACAAACTATATAGCCTTCGTATTTTGTGTGATATGCCACTTATATGAAATCACAATGCTGAATTTATTAAACAAAACAAAGTATTCATTTTAATGATATTTAATTTTGAACTTCTCCAATATGCCGATTTTCAGTTACACATTTTTTTCAATATCTAATAGTAAAGTTTAAGGACAGGGGTTTAAAAAAATGACAGCTTAGAAAAATTTTTAAATCCAATATAATGGGAAAATACTCTCCATCTTTCTCATAAGAGAAATAACAAAACGTAACTAACAGCTTTTCCAAATAAAAATGGACCATAAAATGGTTAAGAAGTTATAAACCTTCCTTGACTAAGAAAACTAGTGATTGTAGTCACTTTCATTCATAATCTATAGGAAATCTCACCAAATGGTGGTCATTAGGGCCTGTTAGAAGTACATTTCAGAATTTCAGGTTAATGTTACACACAGTGATAACATGGAAGTTCTTAATGACAATCATGAACTTCTCACATGCTTTCCTGCTTATTTTCCTTGCTATACATTTGTCATTTCTACGAGATATCAGGGTGAACAGAATATGTCCTATTAGGAGTATTTGTAATGTGAGAGCAGCCTCAAGTGGCAGTGAGCTAGGTCAGAAACTCTGGGACAGAAGGAAGGCAAATGTGGGGACAGGTGGCAACATGTATAAAAAATGTCATCTGTGTCCAGTAACCCTTCAGCTGACCGATATGGCCATCCAAATGATAGCCACCAGGAAAGAAAAAGGAATCCTCTTGCAACCCCAATACACATATCTTTGTTGCATACTTTCCAAGTGAGTAGGGAAGACATTCACGGAGACTTGAGGACTGGGTTAAGGAAAGGCAGGTGAAGAAATGGTTTATGTTCCAGCACTTGTACTTGCTTCTTTAAAATGGAGACAAGGTGAGAATTAGTTAACAGCCAGAATTGCCGCTTTGGTAGAAGACACATTGCTTTCTTGAATGTTGAAAACAATGTAGTCCCTCTATCTAACGCCAATAAGAAAGAATCAGAAGTGCCAAGGCCAAGGCCACAGCTCTTTCTGGTAAATTGGTGGTGATGAGTTTTCACTGTAGAAAGAAATTGCATAATCCATTCCCCGTCTGAATGGGGATCCTAGGCCAAAAGCACCAGTGTCTCATGCACATTCCTTTTAATCAGCCAATTGTCAAGTCCTACATCCTGGGGCACCCAGTTACCTAAAGGTCCTGCAAAGTATTCTGGTAGACAATTGTGTGGGAATATCTGACCTAAACCCAGGCATGTGCATCCCATTTTGGTGAGCTACAACAAAGGAAGATCGAAATTTAGTTCTCATCCACACGAGTAATTATTTTCTGTTTTCATCGCATCCAATTCTGATCCTTTTTAATTACCTTTTCTTTGTTTTAGTTCTGGTTCATGTTTTGTTTAATATGGCATGGCTCTTTTGGAAGTAACTATGAAGTCCATTAGACACTAGTAATGTTCGTCTTAATACAAATAATTCTAGGAACTGAAACTATAAATGAATGTTAGGAATTTGTAAATGTGCAAACAAAGACAGGTTAAAACCCACAGAATTGCCAAGGAAGTGGATGAAGAGTAGATTTTATTCACTGATGTGTGGAAATACCAGACATTTAAAAAGAAAAAGTAAAACCACACAATTCCTGAATGTGGTGGTGTATATTCAGAGCGATGGCCACACAATCGGGCCAGAAAGCACGTGTGTATTTTGAGCAGTCTTAGGAAATGTGTAAGAAAGCTAGGGCACCGAGGTAACACCAACAGGGCACCGATGTACTACCAGAAGGACAGAGGTAACACTGCAAGGTGCAGAGGTAAGTTTGTAGAAATTTCTGAAGGCATAACTGTAAAAAAAAAAAAAAAAAAAAAAAAAAAAAAAAAGGAAAATGGCACCCAGTTGGCAGCTGTAAGTGTGTAAAAGAGCAGACAACCTCAATGAACAAAGAACACCACTGGAGAAAAGCCAGCAACAGTAAGATTTACTGGAGTTATCTAGCGCTTCAGAATGAGTGAATGTCCTGCCTGCGATTGTGAACAAAGGATGTGTGACATTAAGAACAGAACCAAGAAGCATGATTCTTACGGATCCAAACTGTGCTAGTTAGCTTACAAATAATCAAAGTGCAGGGCCAAATTCCTTTTGGCGGGAGATAGATGGTGCCTTCGTTAATTCTCAGATCTGGGAAAAAATATTTATATTTATCATCCCAAACTTGGCAGTGATGACACCTGAGCAAACGTTACTTTTGGCCGCCACTTCAGTAGAAATTAAATTCACTGTTTTCTTTGGAATGAAAGAGATTTTTTTACACCTTCTTTGGAATACAAAATAAATCTTGAAATGAAGTTATTCAATGTTCATGAATAATAAATACATATTTAAAGAATAATGCTCATATGGTTTATTCATGACCTAAGCTGGTGTGACTCCTTAATAAGCTTTGTAAATGTGTTACATGTGAGAAATAACAAAAAGTTATCATTAAATGTAACTAAACGGCTTTGTAGTTATAATTTAATGCATTACAGTATTTTAAATTTTATTAAAAATACTGAATTTTGGTTTTATTGACTTCACTTTCATTCAGTAGTAAAATTTTAATTTATTTTAATGATCTCTAATTAATCTGGTTAATCCAGTTTCTGCTTTAGTGGTAAGGAGCTTTATTGAGAGGCCAGGTTATCAATGATCAGTTCCCATCAATGTTTGAGTAAGCCTTTTCATTGCAGTTTGTGTGCTTTACCACCAGAGAGAGCTCAGTCACCACAGTTTATTAAAAAGAGTTAACTGGGTTTATGAAAAGAAGGTCCTACTTGTCACATTGTAAAAGAAACAAGGTAGTCTTTAATTATTTATAGTATACAGAACCAAGTCCTATAAATGAGATATTTGAGAAATTGTTCTCTGCCAAATAGATTGTTAACCTGATGTTGAAGGGAGGTTGCAATGGAGAAGAGTATAAGGAGTGTGTGTGTGTGCATGTGTGTGTGTGTGTGTGTGTGTGTGTGTGTGTGCGCGCGCTCTCGTGCCCTTGCATGAGTTTATAGAAGGGGAGTAAGGAAGTCCTCTTCATATAACAGGACTTTGGCATTTGGTAGAGCATTTGTTCAAAAAGTTCAGTTTCTAATTGCTTCGTGTTAACCCCCCTAAACCCAAGAGAAAACAGCCTTGTGATAGATAGACAAGTTTACAAAGTCAATGGAAACAAATGGAATTTTATACATTACTAGAAATGGATATAATTTCACATTGTAGCCAACCTTCAACATTTCTTAACAAAGTGTACTATTTCAGAATTCTAATTAAAATGCATTTTCAGTTAAAGATAATAGTAACTTTTTGTTTGCTTGGCTCTGAGAAAATGTATTTCTTTTCTTTGTTAAGCAAGCTCATTTAGGTGAAAAACAATTTAAGTAATTATAATTGCATTAACACACAGTCCCTCCTCCTACCCCAGCTTGGTGAGCAAACACAATTACCGAAACATACACTCAAGTTTATCCTCAGGTCTTCCTCTTTCAAGAAGAGACAGATAGCAGACAATGTCCTTGAGGTGGATCACTTCTGGGGAGCATGTATTAGCTGGAGAAGAACGCGGAGGGGTGATGGCACCCTTATTCATTCTCAGACCTGGAAAATATATTTATAATCATATACTTAAAATATTCACTTGCTCTAAAGTATAAAATAACTAAAGAGGAAATTGCATTGGATATTATGAACACACACACACACACACCTTAAATATAAAATAACCAAATGCATTCAAACACCAATTGGTATTATCTTTCTATGTGTACAGTGCAAACAAGATGGAGACTCTCAGGACCCAATGGCAGGGGCTGAGTGGCCCACCACCATTGGATGTTAAAGTCACCTTAGCATTGTCTAGGGTGTGGGAAATGATGCAAAGGGAAAACACATAAGGAACCCATTTCCAGTCTTCCTGTCTCTATATTAGAAAGTGACAAATAAAAATTTACTTGAAAGATACCAAGAACTGCCCTTTGAATAAAATACTGAAAAAGTAATGATAGTCTGTCATATGATGATTTATATAGTGAGAGTATTTAATCCTTCATAAAATACATATTTATGTCAAGTATTTGCCATCACCATAAATAAGATATCTACATGCCATCCTGATATTCATGAGTATGAATAAGCATAACATAAAGAGGAATCAGGGCCAGAATGATGGGCACTTTGAGAAAAGGTAGCACACATGAAAGTAGTTTGATTTCAGTATAGTTTTCCCTTGATGTGTATAGTTCAAGATTGAACTGATAAATTATAAGCCAGCAAGCTCTAAACACTGAGTTTGTCTATTAAAAAAAAGTCTTCATGTTACTTTCAAAATCTTAAAAACGTACTTTTAGCTACATCTCATTTATTTGGTGTGTGTGTGTGTGTGTGTGTGCATGTTATGGCACACAAGTTGGGGAGATCACAGGACCACTCTTTTTTTGTTGCTTTCTTCTACCATCATGCAGCTTATAGAGCTAGGATTCAGATCATTAGGTTCAGCAGCAAGTACTTTTATTTGTGGAGCTACCAGCTCAGTGGCCTCTGTTTCCAAACACCTTATGATTGTCCTGTTCTAAGACAATGGTGGAGAAATTGCATATTTGTTCGAAACTGCTGATGATAATGTAACTGGAGCTTCTTCATAGAGAAGATTCATCTCACAGGAAACCACATCAGGAGCACCTGAAAAGGCCTGAGGTGAATCTCAATTACAACCAAAGTGGACATTGCCAAGAAGTATTTGACCAGGGTGATGAGTGGGCTGAGTGTCTCCTGGATTCCTAATATGTGAGCAATTGTGGGGAAGATTAACTAGAAGCAAATGTAATTTGACCAGCTGTCCTTCCTTGGCAAGCATCTTCCTGACAGAACTGTTTGCAACCCTGAATCCCTCTGTACTTCTTATTATATCATCTGGGTGTTTTGATATTCTCAAATATCAAATGTAATGCTCCTCAAAAGACAGAGTCTTTGGTTTTTATCATTACTGATATTGCTCCTAATAATGAGTCCCAATTATAGTGTTCCTAATATCAGGTAGGAATTATTAACAGGGGCTTTCACACATCATCTCACTTAATTCTCATGTTAACCTTGTGAGGTCGACTACATTATCCTCATTCAACAGAGGAGAAACAGGCTTATGACATGGCTGTTCCAGAGTTTCTCTGCCAGCCCTACACATCTGCCTTCCTCATTCAACCCTGCCAACCTATACAGTAGTTTCCTTTAGTACACTAATGAAAATAAAGAGAACAATTCACACATCAACACAGACACACACAAGCACAACCTGTGGCTTTCCTAAAAATGTAAATATTTTCCACGATAACTTGTCATGGTTCTTACTTCTCATTTCATTCTTAAAATTTAATCAGAGAACCTTCTGAATGAATCCTCTGCGCATGTGGATATCACAGCCCCATCTGTGGTGCACTCTTCATCCCCTCCCTTTGTTCTTACTTACTGTGATATGGCACTTCATTATCCACAACGCTATCTCACTCATAGTTCTCAGTGAGCTATACATTTTAAAATAATTTCTCTGCATAATGCAAGGATTACTGCTCATCCAATACAAACTGTAATTTCTTTTTAGTTGGAATGAAGAAAAACATTACAGGCAAAACTGAGACACAAAAGGACTTCACCATTCCCCAAATTTACAACTGGACTACTAAAGTTCGTCCAGTTTCAGGAAGGAATCAGGGCTTCTGACTTATGACGGAAAACATTGTGGCACTGGCCTTTGAAGATTTGCAGAACATAGTAGTGAATTACAATGATAAACTATCTTGAGTCATCCTTCTCAAATGCCCATCACAGTGCCTTGATGAAGTAATCAGCTCAATTTATCTTAACTCCTTTTTTTAAGCAAGATTTTAAAAATTTACTTCATGTGTCTTTTACATCATTTGCCTTGATTCCATTAATTTCCCTGTCCCTTTGCATCTGCCCCCTGCACATGCACCACCCCCAACAAAACAAAATTTAAGAGAAATAGGAAAAATACTTAAAGGGGGGGGTTAAAATCTCATCATGGAAGCTGCATGTAGTAACTCACACCTCATAAACCCCTTTGTTAACTCTTTAACACAACATTTTCAAATAGAACAATGGATAAAGGAAGGAACATTGTCTCATTTAGGTGGAAGAAAGTTCAGCTGCATTGTTTTTAAAGGTTAAGATGTCTGTCTACCCAGTTTCATAATAGTACATCCAAGGTAAAATGGAGAAGATGAAGGTCACATCATTTTCTTTTTGTCTTTGCACTGTATAGTATATATCTTGAGAAAGCCTATATATGTATGTTAAGGTTAAAACCCTTCCTTTTATTTTAGACAGAAAAGAGGAGATGATGGGAGATGTCATTCTGTATATATATTTCTCATACTGGTTAATGAATAAATCACTGTTGGCCAATAGGAAAGGAAGATAAAAGGAGACAAGGAGGAAAGAGGAAGTAGTAAGGAGGAAAGATGGAGAAAATAGAACAGCCAGCCGCCTCTCGCTGGTAAGACCACGTGGAAATACATAGAAATGGGTTAATACTTAAGACAGAGCTAGCCTATAAGAAACAATTAACTGGCCAACAGCATAATATCAAATACAGAGTCTCTGTGTATTATTTGGGGCTGGCAGGACAAAACTAGGTGGCGGGAGGAAAAAACCGTACTCCCTACATATGTACATATTTCATTTCACAGTACTTTTTGATAAATATTAGCTTTATTACAAATATAAAATTAATGTACCATGGAACTCCTTTATTTAAGGTTTGCAGCTCAGTGAATTTAGCCTCTTCACAGAATTCAGCATCCATCGCCACCATCAGTATTAGATTTTTATCGTTGTCCAAAATATCTGCATTCATGAACAGCTACTGTCTCCCTCTTCATTTCTAGGCACTCAACTTCTTCCTGTTTCTACGGAGTTTTAGCATTGCCTTTTGAAGGAAAATATTTTTATCATGTTTGTTTGAAGATAAATATTTCTCTCTTTGTGCTGATGATATTTTGTAAATGAAAGCTTCACTGAGCATTTAATTTTAATCATTACATTTTAAATATTTTAAGGTACAAAAATATGGGCATATATGCAATCTGTGCATTGAAAAAACTAACAAGTGTTTCCAAAGACTAATTAAAACATATTTGAGTGCTAAAATATGTACCCTTTGTAAGGATTTATAGGGTTTATCTGAGTAAAGAAATTTTAGTCAGATAATAATAAAGTTAAGAAACTTTATTCAGATAAGACAAGACACTTTTCATGATCATTTTGACAATATCAAAGTAGATGTTATTAATGTTTTAAACTTATATTCGTGAAGACATTTATTTTTGCAAATGGAAAATATGATAAAGAAAGATATGTCTCAGTTCTCATCCTGTGTGCCCTTCCCAATATGCACAAATCCTCACTGTCAACATACCCATCCAGTTACTATACTTGGTGACTGTGCTGGGTAGTCTTTTATGGACTAGATACAAAAACTAGAATTATCCAAAAGAGGATGAGAAACTCAATTGAGAAAATGTCTCTGTAAGATTCAGCTATAAGGCATCATCTTGACTAGTGAATGGTACCATCCCTGGGCTGCTAGTCTTGGGTTCTATAGTAAAGCAGAATGAGCAAGCCATGTGGAGCAAGCTAGAAAGCAGCACCCCTACATGCCCTCTGCATCAGCTCCTGCCTAGGTTCCTGCCCCATTTGAGTCCCTACCCTGGCTTCCTTCCATCATGGACAGTGATATTGACGTGTAAATAAACACTTTCCTCCCAAACTTACTTTTTGGTCATGATGTTTTATCACAGCAATAGGACTCTAATACAGTGACTGACATAGGAATTCTATTACCCATGTTACTTATGGAATCAATGCAGAGTTGCAATTGGAAGCTGAAATAGCAGGTTATTAGGGCACAACCATGGTGCCAAAGTTAAAGCAACATTTCTCAGTCTCAATGAATATATTGGCATTTAAATATTTTAGAGTATAGTAACTGAATATCATTTAATAGTAAGTGTATGGTAGATAGTTTTTCAATGAGCTTATTTCATTTAATAGCTTTTCCATTTTTTGTTAGTCTAAGGACATGAGTTAATCATTTCTTTTTGCATTGAGGAACATTCCAATAACTGGATACTACCTTTATTTAGCCACCATAGGATTGAATAAACTTGAAGTGGTTATCAAAGAAAGTGCTTATCAAACAGGTTTATTTCTATTCCCAAGGCCTCCCTAACACTAGCACACTCACTTAGGGAATAAAATCATTCCTTCATATTTTCAGTTTCCAAAAACAGGCATTGTGTCTCATTCTTTCTTTATAAAGGACACTTTTATAGGATAGCCTTTAATCTTACTGTCTTTACCTAAATCTAGCTGGGGGTACTTCCTCTTATTTCCTTCTACTTTAGACTTCCCAAATGCCCTTTTAATAAGTTTGCATTAACCAGTATTGGCTGGTTAATTGGTTAAGTGGCTGCTCCCTAGACCAGGGCTCCTCAATTGTGTGATGAGTAGAGTCCCCTCTGATGAAGAAGCAGAGGCCCACATTCTATTTCCCATTAATAATGACACTTATGTCTCCCAATATA